AATTAAATCATCAGTTAATATAACCCACTTAGATGAGGATATTAGTCTGATTAAATCATGGAATAATGATAAGGGTTCATATCAAAATTTTCCGGCAACATTTATAACATGATTGATTGAATTCTACTTGATGGAATTGATCACGAGAATCGAGGGTAAGCATAATCATTTATCGCTGCTGGTTATTGATTATCTATTTGTTAAAAGAAGAAACAATGAGGACTCTTTTCTTGGAAAGATTTTCTGTAGACTTCAATATGTTATTTAAACTTGGAAAGACTAACGGCATGAAAGGGGATCAGAAAAAAATATTTTAAAATATGATAAGCGTATAAAAAGAATACTGACAAGCGATAACTACTAAAACTTCTTAAAGTAATAGAAAATTGCCGAATGGAACATAAAACAATGCAATGGCTACAAGGTATTAAACTTGAACGACTGTTTACTTGGGGTTAATAATCAGCATAGCATTTATTGATTTCCATTGATTTTTACCAAAATCTTTTGGTTGACGTTTTCAGTCTATGAATTTCTTAAGGAGTGGCGCTGTTTACCAAAAGAGTTATGAGATCTGTACATCTGAGTGATTTTGAAAAAAGAAACTATTCATGAATGGACTAGAATGTAGCAGTGTGTGAGGTTATATATTCAACAAATTTATGTCTATACAAACAGACCATGCGATAAATAAACCCTTTAAACTTTGCAAACTGAATTATATGCATCATGTCCACAAATTTTATTTTCTGTTTTTTTATATTTTTTCCAAGAATAAGAGAACAATTTTATGGTTTCTTAGGTTTCATGAAAAGAAGTTTGGCTTGTGAACAACAACAACAAAAAAAAAAAAATGCATGGATTTTTGTTCTGGTACTAAAGAATTGTGATATTCTTCATTTGTTGTTCAAGAAATGCAAGAAAGAGAGAAAAGAATGGAAAAAGGGAGCGGGTGGGGAGGAGTTGTAAATTGGAGTGCAAAAGGAATTTAGAAATATTTCAACGAATATATAAATATACATTTCTTAATGAAAGGAAAGAAAACATTGATGTAATAAAGTAAGAGGAAAATAAAAAAAAAAAAGAAAGAAACAGACAGTAAAGATACAATTCAATGATTCATCTGGACTAACATTTTCATCTCCAATTTTTTTTTTTATCTCATTTTATCTGACTGACTGTAGATGCTAGATGGTGCAAGCAGGGCCAGCTCGAGGTCCTGGCAACTCGGGCAGTCACCCAGGTTCCATCAAGGTTAAGGGTGCCATCATGTCATGTGTTTGGGATCTTCCAAAACTAAAGCTTATAAAACATACTTGTGAAAATTCAGGAAAGATTAAATTCTTTGGCTATTTTGTCAATAGAAAATGATCTTGTAAAGAAGATAGGTGTAGAAAGGGTCATGAAAAAATTTGCAGATCTATAAAAAACATGTTTAAGACAAGATAATAAAGTTTACTTTAGCTTGTATTAAATTGTATATTATAATAAACCAGTTATTCTACATTTTCAGTTGTTCTCCTTATGAAAATTTTAAGAAATTTACAATTGTAAGGATGCCAAGGACAGTGCAGAGGATTCAGAAAGAGTTAGATGATCTATCCAGTCAACATCATGGTGCTTGGAGTGATCACTAGTGATGGCAACATTATTCCTCCATTCATCTTTTCACATGACTTCAGACTCAACACGGAGACCTACATCAAGTTCCTTGATGAGGTAGTGCTGCCTTGGGTCAAGAGGGTGGCTGCTCAAACACCCTATATCTGGCAACAGGACTCTGCACCATGACACACAACTAAGAGAACCCAGTTATGTCTGTCAGACAATTTCTGCAACCACTTTACCTCCTTACATCTGACCACCTACCTCCCCAGACTGCTACCCTTTTGATTATTATGCAGTTGAGCGACAGACCAATAAATCTCCTTGTAACACCAAAGATGAACTCAAGGCAAGGATTATGCCAGCCTTCACCAACTTAAACAAGGAAGCTATCCAGAAGAGGTGCAAGAGATTCCAAAGTTGTCTGGAGGTTGTGGTTGAAGACAATGGTGATTATATTGAATAAATTTACTCTTTAGTATTTCAAAATATTTTGTACAATTTTGGTAAATATATTTTAAAATGAGATGTCAATGTTATTTTCATTTTTGCATAAGTTAGACGACCATTTATCTATCACACTGGAGTTAGAACTTTTCTTATTTGCTTCATAGCAGTAGTTCCTTTACTATCATATAAATAAACATATCCACAATATCCACATATGTATTGAATTCAATTATTAAAAAAAAATTGTTGAAATCTTCTACCTAAAGCCATTAAAATTGTTAATCCCTTTACATTGCACCTGCAAGCCAGAGTTCAAATGCCACTCAGATTTTATTCATTATTTCTGAGTATGCTTGTTATTGACACCCTGAGAAAAGTTATGATAAAAAATGAGAATTAACATAAAAGTATACTATTTGTCTAAAATCAATAATAACAGTTAATATTGCTTCAGTAGAATTTTTTTCTTTTTTTTTTAATAATTTTACTCCAATCAAAGCGAGAATGCCATTAGTAAACAGGGTTTTACTGGGTGTGAAAGTGAGAGAAAAGTCTGAGTATAGGGAGGATTGAGGAAAGGACAAAAGATGAACAGGATTCTATTTCAACAGTAAACAAGACCCAGATGCCAATTTAGTAGCATGCTTAAATTTATGTAGTAAGGGCACCAGTTTTCTATGGGACCTCTAACATCCACTATTTTTTTTTATTTTTTTTACTAAAGTTCACCTAATACAAGGCTCGAGAGCCATACAAGGTAGACGGTTGTTAAAATAGATATGATGAATGAGTAGAAAGTAGAAACAGATTTTGGATTGTTAGTAATTCTTTTTTCATGAGTGAATATTGGATTAATAATTTTTTGAGAATAACAATGATTTTCCAGATCAAAGTTCTATTTAATTCATAGTTAGGTGGGGAGATGGATTCATACCTTTCTCAAGGGTATTTGTACATAAGTGGATGTAACAAATCCAACTGGAATTCAAACTCAGCACTCCAATTTCTCATTCCAAACTGTTGTAGCATACCTACAGACAATAATGGGAATGTCCTCATTTGCATAAACACAGTAGTAAATACTGTATGTTGGTCTGCAATTGGAAATTCATTGTGAAATTGATTTGACTCATTTCTAGCAGGGGACTACTTCTTCTACATGTCGCTAGCGAATCTTATATGTGTTGCTCTTGTCCTAAGTATCATCGTTCATTATCAACCTTTGTTTGATTATTCTATTCAGTAACCTTCCCTAGGTCAGAACATATGCTAAGCATTTCTTTTCTCGCACTTCTTGTCTGTGGAATTCCCTTCCAGCTCCATGCTTTCCAGCCAACTTTAATTTTTGTAATGTCATTAACCACATAAGAGCTCCTAAAATATGGAATTAATAATCCAGTCTTGTCAAAAGCTACTTTATCCTTGATGGAAGGATAATCAGCCCAAAAAGTCATGAGGAATGGCAAAAGTGTGAACAATTATCAGTTTGACATTAATATAGTTAACATGCTTAATTCTAGAATTCAAATAATGAGTTTATTATTATCGTTATGTAACCCATTTGAATTTTAGCCAGTATAAGCTGACTTATCCTTACTTTCAACCTTTTACTAGTTCTACCTATATAGTCAATATTATGCTGACTTTTGAACTTGTAAATAACTAGTAGATTAATAATTGTTGTAGCATACATATGAACAATAATAGGTATGTCTCCATTTACATAAATATAGTAGTAAATACTGTATGTTGGTCTGCAGTTAGAGATTCATTGTGGAATTCACTTGACTCACTTCAGTTGACTACTTCTTCTGCACATCGCTGTTGTTCTTGTCCTAAGTATTATCATTCATTACTAACCTGCGTGAGATTATTCGATTAGATAACCTTCCCTCGGTTACAATACAAACTACTATCCACTACACCACCTGCGGATGCTAGATGTGTTATGAGAAAGAGAAAGTGATATTAAGTGAATATTATTAGGATAAGAGGGATAGATAACAATTGATCCTTGTTCAGATTGCAGTGTTCAAGGAAGAATTCACACAGGAGTCTTCCATAAATATCAATACTTGGGAAAATCTGAGTGGAATTTTCTCCTTAAAACTGGAATACAGAGGAAATGTGAGTGATTCGAATCTGTGGAAGAAGCATGGTGTGTCCTTTCAGTAAAAAGGTCTGGACAAGTGGTAACTAAGAATGTAACCGATCTGAACATTTGGCATGGAAATAGCAATAGAATAGTAATTTTTTTTTTTAGTTCACCCAATACAAAGCCCACTCATGGTTTCACAATGGTGCATGGGAAAGAAGCTGCAGATTGGAGAATAGGTCTTTAACAAGACTGCATAAATAAAAATATTTAAAATATAAAATACTATGCAAAAATTGATACAATAATGGCTAACAATTCTTCATCCAATAGAAAATGAAGATGAAAGTAATTACTAGTCAAAATTAATAATAATGGCTGACAATATTCTAATCAACTGAAAATAAAACAAATTCAACTTTGAATAGAACCCCTTTGTTTAGGGAGAAAGTATATCATTTCCTTCACTTGCTTGCTTTCATGTCCCTCATATTTCAAGGGATTTCTGAACTTGTAATTGCCATTTTTTTCTCTCTAGAAGCCCAATCTCCTCCTCCAAAATTCTCATACTGCTTTTTCAGCTGCTGAACTCACAATTTCCAGAGAATAAGACAAAATTATATTGAGTGAACAAGAACAAATATGAAAATAATACAAAAAAAAATAAAGATTCAGATAGAATTTGCGCATAAAGGAAAAGAAAATTATTTGGAAAGTCAGGCATACAGAAGGAGAGACAAATAAAAGGCTGAGAAAGAAAGAAAGAAAGAAATACTTCAGACAAAGAGGTATGAGTAGAAAGAGAAAAAGATGTGGTATGAGGAAAGAGAAAGATACAGAAAAAGATGTGTTATGAGGTGAGAGTGATAGAAAGGTGTGGTATGAAGAGAGAGAGATAGAAAGATGTATGAAGAGAGAGAGAGAGATAGAAAGATGTGGTATGAAGAGAGAGAGATAGAAAGATGTATGAAGAGAGAGAGAGAGATAGAAAGATGTGGTATGAAGAGAGAGAGATAGAAAGATGTGGTATGAAGAGAGAGAGATAGAAAGATGTGGTATGAAGAGAGAGGGATAGAAAGATGTGGTATGAAGAGAGAGAGAGATAGAAAGATGTGGTATGAAGAGAGAGAGATAGAAAGATGTGGTATGAAGAGAGAGAGGGATAGAAAGATGTGGTATGAGGAGAGAGAGGGATGAAAGATGTGGTATGGAAGAGAGAGAGAGAGGGAAAAAGATGTGGTATGAAGAGAGAGAGAGAGAGATAGAAAGATGTGGTATGAAGAGAGAGAGATAGAAAGATGTGGTATGAAGAGAGAGAGAGGGATAGAAAGATGTGATATGAAGAAAGAGAGAGATAGAAAGATGTGGTATGAAGAGTGAGAGAGATAGACAGATGTGGTATGAGGAGACAGAAAGAAAGACGTAGTATCATTAGATATGAACAGAGGCATGAGAACATTATACCTGAAGCTCTAAATAAATTGTCTTTTTTTTTTTTTCTCCTAAACCCTCTTTCACATCCATTTGTTCAAGCTCACTAAGTAGGTTATGTGTTGTTTTCCTCTATCCCTCTTGCCTTCAATCGGTCCTATGAGTATCAGATTTGCCAAGCCTTACAAATTTCAGTTGTCTCTTCCTGATGTTAAGTATAAGTTGCTTTTTAGTTTCCATTTTCTCTAGTATAACAAAAGTTGCAGACATGTTGCAAGATGCTAGTATTTTGTAAGTAAATATTAGTCACCATTATATTATGGGAATCAACACTTTGGATAATAAATATTTACAGGTTCCTGGAAGATTTATCCCACAAACAATATTGGCGGACTCAATGTGAATCCAAGTAAAAAATGTGCAACAAAACAATAAATATAAAACAAACAATACATGCATTAACAAAGGAATTGCATAAAAAACATGAAACAAGCTATAATAAGAATGTGTGTGTGTAACAAGCATGTATGAGAGAGTATAAAAGTCAAGAAAAGAAAACCATGAAAATGAATGTATCCCAATGGGGAACACTTTACCCACATGCAACTATAAGTAAAAGTCAGAAGTAAAAAGTTGTAAAAGAGGCTAGGGTAAGAAATGCACACTTTTTTTATAGGCTTAAGGAGTGCCCTCTAGCAACAGTTTTTGTTTTTTTTTAAGCAAAACAGGAGGAGGCATGGTGGAGTAATGGATAACTGCTTGGATTGAGGAATTGGAGAGCTGAGTTCAAGTTCCAGTTGAATCCATTTACGTTCAGTTACGTGCTAATACCCTTGTGATAGGTATGGATCCTCTTCTTCTCCAGGACAGACTAGGTTCTATAGCCTTGGATGGCAACTGGTCTAATGCAGAAAGAAATGGCAACCTACTCCAGGAAAAAATCTACCTCATCAGACCAGTCATGTATCGAAAAATACATGATCGCCTGAGGCGAATGAAGAAAATAGTAACCAACGAGTAAATTCAAGCTCTCCCAGCTGGTATTTCAAACTTGAGTCGTTCCTTCTTGAGTTGTCTCCAAATCACACTAACTGCCCGTTCTTGCCGTCAACCGTGAACGTCTCTCGAAGAACTCCCAGACTCGGAAAAAAGTAGTTCTTTTTATAATTGTTCATATACCCATAATCCCTTGCGTCTTCACGTGATCCCATAATTCATTGCGTCCATGTCCCATAATGCATTGCATCGTTATTGCATAAAAATGCGATGCCAGACCCCCTCATTCTTTTAAGTTATCTGGCCGAGGATGGATTACGGCAGAGCGGTAAGTGCTTTTTTTCTCTCCCTCATTTCAACTGCAGTAGCTTTACATGCTAAGCAAATACGGGCTCTTTTTTGGCGGGGACAAGGCAAGTCGCGACCAGTTGTGCTGGTCCCAGGTTCTGTCTCATGTCCGCCACATCGCCTAAGCATGTATTAAGCATGCTACCTAACTGACTAACTGGGATAACTCATAGACATTGAAAAGTAAAAAAATATACAAATTCCCTTAGCATATTCTATATAGAGATGGATATACAATCATTTTTCTTTGTGAACATATTTATTTGCTTCATCTTACCATAGCTTCAATTATTCTTCTGATTAGAGTTTATTAATATATATAATTACTTAATTATCTCAAATCCTTAATTTCTATCATTTGTATATCATTGCTTGAACCGGCTTCTAATGCTCTGGATGGATGGCTTGGGGATAGTAGTCGTGGCTCTAGGGGGCACAATCTTATGGATAAAGGAACTCAGAATTTATGAATGAACAGCGCAATATCGAGTCTAGTTCACTACCTCTTCATCACTGAGGCCCGTTAGTATGGTTAGTATGATGTTTGATATATATGGTATGATATATATATATATATATATATATATATATATATATATATATATTATTTAAGTTATGAAGAACTTGGTAAACCGAATTGGTAAATCCAAGGAGGATGAAATCCTGAGAGCTCAATGTGAAGAACAGACCTAATATTTAATGAAAAACAGACCACTTTAAGGTACCATTACAATAATTTATTTCACCAAAATCCCTTTTAAGGGATTTCGGATCATCAGGTAACACTTCCAACAATGAAATGAGAGGAAAAATGTGATTAGAAATTGATGGGTAGTGTAATTTTTGTAATTAAACAGGGAGGGTGAAGGTGGCGGTTAAAGAGACAATACAAAGTATAGGGAGGCTTAAATTTCTCTCTTAATAAATAAATAAATATATATATATATATATATATATATATATATATATATATAGCATTGGAGCAAATTTTTGGTAAATAGTGGCTGCAAGAGTTTTAAAGCAATCTTCCATGATGGAAGGGCTTATCTGCATGCAATCAAATTCTTGGCTTTCATTTGGGATCAAATAAAAAAACTGTCACCAATGGGGAATATGCAATTATCTAAGCAGTCTAGACCTGTTTGAATATTTTCTTATTCCTTATATTTTTGCTTCATTCTTTTTTTCTCTTTCTCCTCTAATTTTTAATTATGTCCATAATCTAATTTTTTAAATTATTCATTTTCTTTCTTTGTAATTAATAATTGCATCCATGTAATGGTTGTCCTTTGGTTTTATCTTCTCCAATCATCTCTCAGAATCAGTTTATATTATTATATTATTATTTATCCCTTATAGATATTATCATTTATACTGTTATTACTGTCATTATTATAAGTTCATTTCAAAAAGCATTATCTAACAAATAACAAATAAATAATCTTACATTCCCTGCCATTTGGGACTAGAAAACCAATAATTAACTGAAGCTTGATGATTAAAAGTCCACTCTCCAGACTACAGTAACTTATTGCATAAAAGATATCATAGCCTGATGTCTGAAGCAATGACCAAAGAGACTAAACAATTTATGAATAACTCACTATAAAAGGGGATTTTGGGCTGTATATGGTAATGTGGGTGTGGTATATGGCAATTAACACTAACAAAAAAAAAAAAAAAATAGAAATTACCATGCATCACATTCTGTTCTCATGAGACAGAAAATAAATGGAGATCTAACAAGTTATTTCCATTTTATCATTATCAGTAAAAACAATAACACTGCCTACCAACAACACCATCATCTATCAACATTATCACCATCACTGTTCTCCACAGCCATTATTATTATCAGAAAAGCAAAGAAAAAAAAGTTTCTATGAGTTGTTAAAACTATTGATAGTCTTATGAAATCAATAATCAACTCTTCAAATTACTCATCTCAAATTGATAGAATCGATCTTTCATATACGGATTATACACCTGAAGTAGGCCACAAAATGAATAACTCTAAACAAAATTAACATTTGCTGGAATCATAATGACTTCTTAAATTTACAGAGGAATCCTTACAAAATGGTTCATACAATGCAGAAATGTAGCAAATTCTGGAAGTACTGGACTGACACCCAAATGAAAGGGTAGTTTGTTTTCATTTGAATCTTCCCAGCTAATTTCCAATAAAGTAAGATAAATCTTTTCACTAGTCAAAACCATGATAATCCATAAATTTCTGGGACAAGTTATAATTACATGATTTATATTCTCATATCTGTCTATATTTCTGGGATGTGGTATTGTAATTATTTATACTATTTACATTGTTCAGACTGTTGTTCCCCTCTTTATTGTCATATTCACAATGTTTCGGCTGTTGTATACTCAGGCTTTCTTCAGGTGAAATGTTGGAATTTTGAACTGAATCCTTTATTTAGTCCACTGGGGTAGATTGTTCTAGTTCCAAATGTCATGCCTTTTCTGGATATCTCATTTCCAGTTAATTCTCTTTAGTAACTCAACTCTCCAAGTAGGAGCAAAGCCTCTGATCAGGTAATTAGAGGTTTTGAGTTGGGGTTTTAGTATCTGTTAGGGTCCTATATATGGGCAAATAGCAAACTCCCAAATTAAAACAAAAACTATAAAAGTATAAAAATAAATATTTATAATATAAATACCAGCAATACATATTTATAATAAAATGACCAGCAATACCTATTTATAGTAAAATGACCAGAAATACACTTTATCTGTAGTTGGTGGCATACAATTCAACCAAACAACCAACAAGAAAGAACTCTATCATGACATTACTCTCTTAGAGAAATCAAACTGCATCCCGAAATATAACTTCAACAAAACCATAACATAAAACACACATATCATTGCCTCTTATTTTCAAGCAAACATGTATATGCAGAAAAGCTGAGAATCATCTACCATGTATTCAATTGTGAAAGCTGAATAACATTTTTATTACTTCAAAGCTCACAAGAAAATTAAATTTCGGCATTAGATGACTCATAAGGATGTTGATATGCCGTTAAACAAATCAAATCAAAACTTCTTGGGATTCTATTCCACATAGCAACAGCTCTTGGGAAGCACCTGTCTGAATAGAACTTCCATCTCATTAATGATATATGAAAGGAATAAGGATGATTAATATTGTGTATGTGAGTTTTTTGTTTGTTTTTTTTTTTCAAGCAAATCACCCCAAGCAAGATGGGAGTGCCACTAGCATGCAAGGGAGAGTGAGAGTAAAGAGGAGTTTAGAGAAGGACAGGGATAAAGGTCAATGTATCTGAAGATGTCGATTGACATTACATTTGAATATTTCAAGATTATAGCTATCAGGGAAGCATGTGATAGGAAAGGAGTTCCACTGACTGGAGGTGTGAGACAAGAAGCTCTTGAAGTAGAAGAGATAGCTACATTTAGTTGTTTCGATGGCGAAAGGGTGGGACTGAGATGCCAACCTAGTAGCACACTTAAATTCATGCAGTTTGGGAGCTGGAGAAAGTAGGTTGTTGGAGCAGTTGCCATGAAAGTACTTGTAGAAAAGGCAGAGGGAAGCCACAGCACACCTCTGAGATAGCGACTGCAGACAGGATGCCAGCTCAGGACCAACCATGTTGCATATCCAACTCTGGATTTTGTCTAAGAACTTGAGATGAACAGCAG